CCCTTAACCTACAATACACTTAAATCTCTTCCAGCCTAAAAATAAGTTTTACATCGTAGGGTGGCGGTGATGAATAATGTAAGACACTGACAAAAGGTGTGCAGGTCATGTGTTGTCTAGCTATTATTTCTCCTTAGAATTTTTAAACATAGCTAAAGTCATAGTTTATACAGATTTCCTGTTTTTAGCTAACATCATTTTTCTGTTCTGGAACCTCATCCCATGACATTTAGTTGTCATGTTTCCTTAAACTCCTCTTGGCTCTGACAGTTCCTCAGACTTTGCTGCTTTTGATGATCTGTGCAGTTTTGAGTAGTAGCCAGGTACATTAGAGGATACTCCTTTCTCAGAATGTATCTGATATTTTAAAAACATAATTAGACCTGGGGCCAGCAGGTAGTGTGGTGATTAAGGTAGCTGGATTCCCACATGGATGATCATGGTTCAAATCCTGGACCCAGTGGTTTGAAAATCATGCTGGGCATGTGTGTTTGCATGCCCAAAGAACTGAGAGAAGAAGGGATTGCAGTGTGCCATCCCCCTTCTGAGGGGGTGATGTCTCACTTTCCTTCTGTGTTTCTCTCCTCTCCCACGAGCACACATGCCTTATGGCAAAAACTTTAAAAAATAATAATTAGACCAGAGTTATGGATCTTTAGGAGGAAGACCTCAGAGGTCTTCATTGGATCATATCAGGGTATACACTATCCACATTATTTAGGACTATTGATGTTGACTTTGGTCACCTGGCTGACATTTTGTCAGGTTTCCCTACTTCAATGAAGTTACTCTTTCCTGCCTTCCATACTCTTTTTTTAAAAATAATTATTTATTTTATTTATTTATCATTATTAGTTTTTTAAAATTTGCTGCAAGGCATGCTTGCTCACCAGAGAGAGACAGAGACAGAGAAAGAGGGAAAATAAGAAAGAAAGCTGCCAGGTCTGGGACTCAAACCATGGTCAGCCATGTGGGAGTCCAGCAAACTTAACTCCCACACCACCTACTGGCTCTTGTTTTCCATACTCTTCGGAAGGAAGTCACTCTGCTCACCTTCTTAAGGGCAGACTATCTACATAAAATTTTAGAAACTTTTGTTCTTCTTAATGGAAGATTTCTCTCTTCTTCATATTTATTCACACATTTATTTATGTCTATTTTTTTTATAGATACTTCTTTTTACTTTTTGGGTTTATAGTGCAATACTACTTTATTGGATTATAATGATTTATTCAAATTGTTCCAGCTTTGACCAGTGGGAATTCTTTTCACTGGCTTTTATTCTTCTTTGACATTAATGAGTTGGGGGTTTTTGTTTGTGTTTTAGCAATTCTTTACTTTCTAGCACTGTAAGATAGCAAACCCATTTTATACATTTCCTGCTCCAGTTCTAGAATCAGCCATTTCTCCAAATATATATATTTAAAATTTAATGTGATTTCTGGTTTACATATAATCATTGTATATCTTTATAAAATACAGTATGGTTTTTAAAGCATGCATATGGTATAATTATCAAATCAAGGATACAGACATATTCACCTTATTTGACATTGAACATTACATTATGTGGTACACATCTAATAATTCTACCAGGGTTCTACCAGGGAGGAGAAGGGATTGAGGCATGGCTATCCCACCACAGAGTGATTTCTTACTTTCCCACTCTGCCTCTCTCTGGCAAGTACATACACCCTATAGCAAAAACCTAAAAAACAAACAAAAAAAATTGAATAAGAGCAGCAAGAAGGAACATTCTTGCTTTATTCTCAATTTTAAAGGGAAAGCATTCAACTTTCTACCTGTAAGTACAATGTTAGGTGTTGCATTTTTGTGGAAGTAGAGGTACTTTACCAAATTGAAGAAATTCCTTCCTATTGCTAGTTAGCTGTATTTTTTTTTTTTTAATGATGGTGACTACATATGTGCAAATGAAAGGGAGTAAGACAGAAAGTGTAAAGGCATCCTGGATAATCTCTTGTCATGCTGCAATCCTCTTTCTCCAGCCCTCTAGCCTCTCAGATCCCTGAGATGGCCCAGTGTGATTTCAGGCCACCCTGGGGATCCACCCTGCAATTGACCATGTGATTTCCAGTCTTGCAGAGTACTTGTGTCACTGCCCTGCAAGACGGCACTTGTGTTATACTGCAGCAACTGGGACTGCTCAGAGTTTTTTCACGGATTACTATGAAGAATGGATTTTGCCAAATGCTTTTATTAAATCGATTATTATAATTATGTGATTTTTCTTCTTAAAGCTGTTGATGTGGTAAATTACATTGATTATTTTTTAATTTAAGCCTGGTTAATGTATCTTGGATTAATTCTATTTAATTGTGATGTATATGGCTTTTTCACACTGTTGTATTCCAATTGCTATACTTTTTTTTTAGTTTTACATCTGTACTTATGACTCTCCTTTTAAATATCTATCTCTCTCCTTACAGCACTCATCTGTTCTTGCATATTGTCTATTTTTTCCCACCAGAGTTCTTAGCATCTTAACCATATTTATTTTAAATTCCCTATCTGGAAATTTCTAAATCCATGTCTTATCTGAACTTGGTACTGATGCTTCTTTTGTGTCTTCAGATTGTGTTTTTATCTTGCCTTTCAGTATGCCTTGTACATTTTTGTTGAAAGCCAGATATAATGTATAGAATACATGAAACTGGGGCTTTAGAATGAAGTTCTGTGCTAATCAAGCTGTGGATTAAGCTGTGCTTAATGCTTGTTATAATAATAGGTACTAGAGGCATCTGTTTTCTCTAGTGTCCTTTTTTTCCCCTTACTTTCTTTTATATTTCCCTAAGAAGTTCTCCTAAATTAGTCTTGTAGCTCTTTCAGTTATAATCTGCTCTTATTAAGTTGGCCCCTGTTGTGATGGACCTGAGTCTCTGAACTATGACCTTCAGAAGTTTCGCTTAGCCTCTATTTTCATTTTTACTTTTATCCATCTAGGTGAAATGAGAATGCTACAGAGGGCCAGAACTGACTCATTGCACTTCATCTCCAGGTAGATACAGCTTGAGTAAAGTTTTGTCTCTACCCCTGGGTCACAAACATTCCCCTACAGAATTTTTTTAAGTTAACTTTAGCTTTATCATTTACATTTTTTTTAAAGGCAGTGTCTTGCTCTGTTGTGATCTCCTGTCTCAGCCTCCCAAGTAGCTGAAACCACAGGCATGCATCCTTATATAGGCCTGGCGTTCAGGTTGGGCTAGGAACTGAACCTGGGCCTGCCATGTGGCTTCAGCCTGCAGAGTAGCACTGTATTGCCAGCATGCGTTACCACAGCTGGGCTATCAATTAAGTCCTTATCTTTGTATATTGTGTGTATTGATCTAGTTTTATTTTTCTTATATAGAGAGGCAGGTTTTTCCAATGCCATGAACCAATCAGATAGCTATGTATTTGCAATGGGGGAAAAGTGTTGAAAATTTCTCCCAATTTGGGAGAATTGGGTGAACATTTGGAGAAATGGGGAGACACTTCCTAAAGAACACGTCATGCCATCTGGGAAGAATTTTAAAGGGGGGAGAGGTTATTGAGGAAAAGGTGTTCCAGGCAGAAGAATGATGCCAAAAGGGCACATAGCCAAGAAAGCATCTATGAATGAAACAGCAGTTGAGTTGGAATCCATCCTAGAAATCATCTGTGGTCTAATGACCTCATTTCCTAGGTGAGTAATTTGCTCAAGGTTGTGTAGCTAGAAGGTGCAGACTGGGATGCAAAGCC